ACCACTCATTGCCATGCCACAATGCAGCGGCCATCAGCATAAGGAAACCAGATTGGTTAACTGATGAGGAAATTGATTCCGCTCCTTCCATCAGAATTCACACAAATGGCGCAGCACGTAAGCTACTCACGAGAGGTGAGAATATGTACGGTGCAACGTTTCCAACATGGTAGGTTGGATAACAAGCATCTGCATGCCTTGTTGTCATTTGGTGACAGAGAAATTTATTTCTTGAAGGAGAGAATGACCCCCATATTCTAGAACATGCCTTCACTTAACGCTTCACCTCCACTTGAGAAAGCCTATGGGAGCGCCGTCTCTAGGCACGGAGTCACCGCATATCTGCGATAATCTGCTGCGATTTTTGAGTAGCGCAGCGTCATTATGAGCCGAGCTGCGGCGCATTGCTTAATTCGGTCAAGTGAAAGGTGAAAGTTGAGTCGAGGAGCGTTTGTGAATACGAGGGTGAACCGCTTACTTTCAACATTGCATGAGAATTGCACGCATCTTAGCAAGAGATGCTTACATGAAAATGGTTGTGTACGAGCTACTAACTTATTTTAGTTTCGCGCGAACTAAGCCCTTACTACTCTGATAGCGAACAAGCAACGCTTTCACCAATTACACAAAGCTGCTATCATACCAAATCAATGAGGTCCCGTTTTATTGCCTTGTTAAACTTGCTCTGTGGCTCGTTTTATGTACTTATTTTATACACCTCCGGATGCCACAACTGATGTATTATGGACGCTGCATATTGGAATGTTATTGCACAAGAATAACAAAATTGCTCGGTGATGTTAACCTCCTTGAAGCAGAATGGCAAGGCATTGTTGCCTATAGTTCACATAACAAACATGTTAGCAGTGTGTTTGATATATATTAAGGTATAATTTAGAGAAGTTAGTCCATGAACCAACTAGTGTTCAGAATTCATCTAGCTCTGTATTGAATTTGGGGTCCATCAGAGTGAGTTTTCTGATTAAAGCACAGAAGTCGACCCAGGGCTCTCTGATCATAATCTCGTAAACGTATCTTCACCGCTTAAACAACAACAAAAGTATAAGCAGATCTCTGCGCATTCTTTTAAAGGATTTACTCATGCCAAGGACGCAATCAATATCGATGGCATGCCAATTTGAGTGTATGACTCCGATAGCAAAGCGTTCAAATACTTTGTAAAAGGTTCCAATAAATGTGCCACTATTATCTAAATAACTTTTCCCCAATAAACTAAAGAAAGTCAGAAAGGGAATGCCTTGGTTTAACAGCAAAATAATTCATTCCAAACGCAAGATGAAGATATTTCAAAGAAATATGCGAGGACAACCAAATAAGGCACATGCAAGGGAGACCTCACAAGTGCACTTCACACAGCAAAAGATATCGCCTATTATTGTCATAAATATCTTGATAAGTTCTGGCAGTACATGAAACATGAAAAAAAACAGTTACCAATATATCAGTTGACAAGCAGCCGGTGATAGATAGGAGTGACACAGCTCAATACTTCAACAGCTGCTTTTGAAGTGCGAACTCGGTTGCGACTGTATACGCACGTGACGGAACAAGGTTCGAGCTATCACATGCGAGTTTTGAATACTATGATGGAGTATTCGATATGCTACTCAACTTGACAACTGAGGGTTGTTGTGGTCTCATAGAAATTCCTAACGTATTTCACTGATGACCGCACAATTTACAAACGACTGGAAAACAGCCTGGGTTGTCATCTTCCTTGAACCATGACAGGTCAATTATAAAAATCATCGCCGAGCTCCACTAACTCCTGATTGCTGCAAATTTGTAGAGAATATTATAGCTGATAGTGTGCCTGAATATCTGTAAAATATTGCCGCACCAACACTATCAGCATGATTTTCGAAAAGGGTATTCAATAGTCCAACTAATAACGGTAGTTCATTCGTTCGCCCCGCCGCGGTGGTCTAGTGGCTAAGGCACTCGGCTGCTGACCCGCAGGTCGCGGGTTCGAATTCCGGCTGCGGCGGCTGCATTTCCGATGGAGGCGGAAATGTTGTAGGCTCGTGTGCTCATATTTGGGTGCACGTTAAAGAACCCCAGGTAGTCGAAATTTCCGGAGCCTTCCACTACGGCGTCTCTCTTATTCATATGGTGGTTTTGGGATGTTAAACCTCACATATCAATCGATCAGTTCACTCGTTCCTTTCATTTCATAAATCTAATGACCAAGCAGACGTAATATTTCTTGATTTTAACAAAGCTTTCGACAAGATTCAGCAATAGAAACTAAGTTTAAAGCTTCGACTGAACATGGCTGCCTGACATCTTGACATTCCTAAACACTTACCTCAATGGATTTCTGCTTACCTGAATAATAGCAACCAATATACTTACATTGGAGGCCAACTTCCCGATAGTTTATCAGTCACTTCAGGGGTAACAAAAGGTAGTGTCTTGCCCCCCCCCCTTGTTTTTTTTGTTTATACTAAAAGCATATGTAATGTAGTAAGCCCTGGCATTGTTTGAAGATGACTGTGTATTGTTAAAAAATGTTACATCCGTTTGCTCACGTTCAGCTAAAGAACATTGAAATAATGTATTCTAGTAATTTGAAAAATGCGAAATATTTTCCAATGCCGTACACTTCCATATAACGCGTAAAAACATCCCTGTGTTTTACCTATCAGCTTTGTTCTTCGCCGCCTATGGAAATCGACAGTTACAATTACTTAGGTGTTACAATAACACCTACCTTCTCGTAAATTATACATATAAATATCATTCGCTCATCTGCATTCAGAAACCTTTGTTTTCTAAAACCTAAGCTTCCCTATGCCCCTAGCAATGTTGAAAACTGTCCTATTGCTTTTTATTAGGACAGAAGATAGAATAGGCCAGTGCTATATGAAACGAATACACTCAAACAAGCATAAAATGCCTGGAAATAATGTAGACGAAAGCATTCCAGTTCATTTTTACCACGCGTTCTTTCTCCCTCTTCTTCTCTTCCTTCTCTTCTTTCTCTTCTCAACAGCCTGCTTGCAATTGACCCACCTCATTACGTGACACCCTTATTAACTGACGCGCATGGCATCATCACGCGCAATGTTTTACACCTGATTTCTGCAGAGCAGACCTTTACAAGTATACATATGTTTCAAGCATGACCTCACATAGGAACGAAATAACTCAGTCATCCTAACAGTATCAATTTCTCCTGCGCATCGAAATAGCATTGCCTTGCCAGTTGAGGTTTCATATTCTTTTATCGCAGTGTTTTTTTCTTGTTTTTATTTTCGTACGCATCGTTTGTATTGCATGCATATGTAGTTATATTGCTCTTGCGTAAACTGTGAAAATATTGTTAATTTTTGTTTTTATTGTGTAGTCAGTAATTCGTATACAGATTTTGCACAATATAACGAAGTATTTATATGTACCATCCTTTTTTTCTCATTGCTCATATTGTTAGCATTAGTTAAACCATAGTTTTCCACGTCAAGGTTTCTATTTGTTATCACTGTATTACTAACCCACACGAAACAATCTCTTGTGTCACTCTCCGTATTATTTATGTCCTTTTGAAACTGCCCAACAGCTTGAACCTCAAGATGGGCAGTACGTAATAAATGAATAAATATATTTTAGATCTTTATACGTATTTCATGAACCAGTGTGTTTTTAACATCTTTAGAGATAGGGAATTTGAACTCTGGAAAAACTGTTGGGAAATACTGTTGAGAGCAGCAATGTTCATTTGATGCATTGTTTTGATTCTGGTATGTAAAATGAGCGATCTAACTTCACTGCTGTTGTGACGCAATCAGCAAGTGATTCACTTCCGTTCAAAGTTTTGTATCCAGCATGACTGCAGCTACTAACATCCTTTTTTTTTCCTGTAGCGAAAAGTTTTTTTTTTTTGGTGGGAGGGGGAGCGCTGTAATCATTGTATAGGTTCAGGTGATAAAAATACATTTATGACTTTAAAAACTTGGTCTATGCTTTCCTACTTCTAAGCAAGCGGGATTCAGCGTGCGCATAACCGTTCCTTTTCATTGTCAGCGACCTTGCAACTGTAGAGCTGTTATTACTGATAAAGAAGTGGACGGCAATAATGTAATGAAAACACACCGACAGCATATAATCGCATTTTTTGTTCTTATTGAGCATCGACATTCATGTAAAAAAATTGCACTTTTTATGCGCTGTGGGTCGCAGACAATGTTCGAGTGGTGCCTTATTTTGGGTTGCACGCTCAAGCAAAGTATTGTAACTGGCACACTGTTCTTACTTTCATATGTGTGACATGATCTGCCGATACACTCAGCAGTGGCACAAACAATCTTTTCATAGGATGTAGCTTTGCACAAAGAGATCTGCTTCTGCTCACCATTTACTAATTTATAAGCCATGAAAGTTCAACCGCTACTGCTGTTCGCTGCAAGCTTAACTGGCCTATCTAGAGTTCAAACTAGCTACTTGTCTTGTGGGCATGTTTTTTGTGGACTCTATCTGAAAGCTTTGCATGAAGTTCTTCCATGAATATTCACGTTTATTCTTTTTAAACTATCACACAAGATCATTATTTTTGAAATTGTAGCTGTATTCTTGTTTGTGCTTTACGCAAACGTTCCTTATGTTGTTCGCTACAGAAACCGTAACAAATTGAACGCCAGTGGTGCGGATATTATACCATATTATTACGTGCAGTCAGGATTTGTCTAGAGACAAAATTGTTTCTATGAATTGAAAATTTCCGGGTTGAAAATGTGATATAGGCTAACGCACCATCCGCCATTCCGCATCTGTCTTCCTGAATTTAGTGTAAAGAGATGCATTTTGCGTATGTGAATTTATTGCATCGTACAACAAATGACGTGTTGTGATCAGAGTACAGAGTCAGGCTTGTTTCTTTCAAATCTGCTAAGTCGTCGTTTGCTTTGCAAAATCTAATTTCATCGAAACATCCTCATGGCGCCATTGCATTGAGACAGAGAGTTCTCGTCGCCGTGACTCACCTGTACTGCGGCATGTCCGTTAGCAACACCGGTCACGATGTACGACTGGCGACCCATAGGTGTAGGTGGCAGGATTGATCCTGAACTGGACGCCGTCGTTTTACGACGAAATGTGCGTAGAGATGCAAGCGGAGTGGAGCTGGAGCACCTGCCTGCCTTAGCACGCGTGTCAAGAGCACATGCAGACAGCACGTGAACGCCAAATTCACCTGCCCGATTCTACAGAAGTATATTGCATTGCTCGCGGCCCCTGTACTCGGACCACGTTCACCAGCCCGTACGCAGCTATTTTAGCTCTTCACTTGAGCAGACATGGGAGCCGGCATGGACGCCCCATGGGTTTCCCTTTTTATTGTCTCCCTGAAATGACTCGCTTGTCCCTGGAAAATACCCCCTCTGACGTAAAACTCTTTCGCTTTCTGTCCCCCTCCCCTTCCACGGCCTAAGCGCCGCGTGCAAGGTGGTTGTCACACGACCGCCTTTGTCCTCGCGCTGCTCGCGTGCTGCTCAGGGCGCACGCTTGCCCACGAGTTTGACAACCGAGGTTACGCTGATAACAACGTTGGTACTTTTTTTGTCGCCGCTGATTTTACGGTCTCTTTCTGAGCTTTTATTTGTTTCGCGAGTGTGTATGCAAGCCTGCAACGGTGGAACACCGGGTAGGCCTGCAGGGTCCAACGCTTATCGTTTTGCTCCGCGAGTACTTTAACCCTGCGATGTGCAAGATCGTTGCTTACGCCCGGCCGCCGTATCCCGGAATAGAAGCGATAGCCGCGCATCGGCCACACCTTACCCTCCACACTTTCTCCCTCCGTTTTACGGCGTGCGTCGTCTGCAGCAACAAGCTTCCCCGAAGAACGAACGCAGTACCACCTTTACGGCGCCTCCGTTTGTCGCAATAAACGGTGCAGTTTAAGCGCATTCTTCCCGCCCCAACTCATCCCGCTCACGTGCATTGGAAGTGTGGCGTGGCAGGATGTGACTCTGTAGACAGACACATGGCGGCGCCGCCGTACACGAGGCTCTGAAACCGACTGTGCATCAACTTGGGGATAATGTATTAGTGGTATAGAATAATGATGAAAATCGAGTACATCACTAAAGAGGGGCAAAGTGCGTTGAAACATTTGAACCGTTTAGACGCTTTTAGTGACTTACGGTCAGCCTCTGTTGCGCCAGAGGCTTGGAAAGTCCCAAACCCGTTGAAGCAACAAAGTCGTAAACGAGTGCTTCGCAATGCCTACATGTAAGATCACACTAGCAGCCCTTGAATCAGAGAACAGAGACGTCTGCGTCTTTTCTCTAGTCATGATGTATCGTCGACAGACGTTTTAAAGGCGATAGTCTTTCTTGGAACCTTCGACGGAAAGCTTTTGGTCTGTCTGTCTGTACATTTGTCTGTTTGTCCGCCCTAACGATACCTCAAACGACACCACACGGCCAACCGCATTCGCAGCGCCCACCAATATTACCCAAGGTTTAACGTTCATTGTTGTGCGATTGTCAATTAAAAGCCAATTATTGCACATATCTGAGGTGCCACAACAACACTTCGATGTTTTCTATGTCTGCCTTCTTACTAGAAGAGGCATACACAAGTAACTCTAAGGAATGTAGCGCTTAATCGCGCTGCGCTGAAAGTGCAAAGCGATGCTCAAAAAAGCGTTTCCAACGCTTTCACGACGTCACGGTGGTGGCACTTGCCCACCGCTTTGCGTTATACACTTTATCCCCCCCCCCCCCCCCCCAAGACTGCCGCGCATCTTTCTCCGCGGTCTCCACGACATCAGTTTCGAAGATTAGTGCCAGGGGGCACTTGCTTATAACGTGCCTAGATGCACTCGTTCACCTCCGCCACACACTCGAGGCACTCTTAACGCAGCGCCTGCAGAATACCATTCACCAATTTTTTTGCGCACAACATGAAATAAATGTTTTGTTCATTCTCTCCAGACGCAAGATAGTCTTTCGACGACATTTACAGTGTAACTTGTAGATTCGGGCCAATTTTTTGTCAAGGACTTGACCACAGCGAGCCACGTTTTTGTCCGGCGTGAAGGTGTCCGAAGTACCCTTACACCTCCCAACCACGGTTTTTTTCAAGGTGCTCAGCCAGACAAAAAAAATCAGTCATCATAAAGCTCAATGAATCGAGTCAGCGCCCTGGTTATCCTGCCTATGCACAAGGAGTTTAACCCATGATTGGAAATTTGAAACATTTTTAAAAGTCAGGCGTGTATTTATTAAAAAATCGGCCCTGACATCTGTATGTTTCACTGCTATATTTGTCAAAAGACAATAGTCTTGCGTCTCGACAGAGTGAAAAAAACGTTTATTTGATGTTCTGCGTGAGAAAATTGGTGGATTGTATTCTGAAGGCGCCTAGTTAGAGTGCCTCAATCAGTACAGCGGAGCCACATCAGACACGAGCGCTATCCAGAAGTTATTTTTGAAAACGGAGGATGACGTGCGTGCCTGTCTCGGCACGCACGTCACCCAACCGTTCAAAATTCCAGCCATAGAGATTACGAATACCCAGTGCAAAAACGAATCACACATTCACACTGCAGTTGGCGTACACAGAAAGAGGTGGTCTTCTGAAGTTGCCAACAGAAACACTAGCCCGACAAGAAAACTTTCGTAGGGCTCGGCAATTTATGTCTGTTGAGCGATGAGAGCAAGCGTAGGCACGTCTGTGCAGCACTACAGAGAAACACGCTGGTCAAAACGGAGTGACGTCAAAGACCACAGCTGACGCAGTGAGCAGGACTGAAGTTATCTAGGTAGCCTTTTTACGTTAACATCCCTGGTCTGTCCTCGGGGCAGCAACTGCCAATCTATCCCCAAAATCGGTCCAACGTTTCTTGCTGCCTGGGTACACAGGTTTTTTGTTATCCGGTTGAGGTGACAGCAGTCGACGAAGCAGCGGCATGAGTTGTGTTTTTTTTTTTCTTTTCTAAGACTAAGAAGTAAAGGCCACGGACTATTAGATGGTTCAGTGATTTGATTGTCTATCACCTTGTCATCCTCTTTTTGGATGAGGGTCCTTTTTGTGGTAGAGACGCGATATGGTCTCCCATAAATCATGCTTGCGTCACCAGTGTTGATGCAATGAGTGAAGACAGATGTCTGTCCAAGAGACTGGTCGTTTTACATCATGATGCTAATGGAAAGCGCGCGTGGACGAAATGCGAAATTGACAATGAGAGCGTACCCCGCTTTCGCTTTCATGTAGAGTATGAAGCTTGGCCGAACAATGTTTTGCGTCAGAACCACGTTGGTGAGCGGCAACGCGACATAGTCACCATCTGATATAGGGGGATAGAATGTAAGGAGAATAGCTGTAGCAACTTGTGGGGACAAGCGAGTGAACTCACACGAACATAGACGAGGTGACGCACAAGTTGCGGCGTCAGCAGAGAAGGGCAGATCCAGTTGATCAACAGCTTCAGAGCAGTCAATTTAGGCTGCGTGCTTTAAAAGAAAGTCGATGCACAGAATCAGGTTGGGGGGGGGGCACTGTTCAGGTACGATAAATACGAGAATCGTGTAGCGGCCACCGACGGCAACACAAGCTGTACACATTTCGACAACAGGTGCAGTGCCACTATAGGTGACTCGTACTATGCTCTTCGCTGCTGTTGTGAGAACTTTTTCGAGGGTTCGGCGGAGAGCAGCGCTCATAAATGAAAGCTGCGCCTCTGTGTCGACAAGAACTCTGAGATGAACACCATCAACATCACGTCCAGTAAATTTTGCGCATGCAGGAAAGGTCGGTAGAGGTTTTGAAGGCTGAGCTGTAGTTGCAGCGTCACCCCCAGGAGCTCCGCCGCCTAGTTTTCTGACGTGACATGGCTGCTAAAGTACGTGGACGAAGAGCAAAGGCTGAGAGGTTAACGTGTTCGACGACCTTGCACAGACAGGAAACAGCTGGTCCTTGGCGGTATACTGTCAACAGAAATGTCCTGAGTTGGCGTATAGGGTGAGAACATATGACTGCCTGGCAGCTGGTGCAAGTGGCTACGAAGCGATTACCGAAGGGGTGGCGAAAAGTGGCTGTGGCAGTGACGGGCGACGTGTACAATAAAGGATCATGGGAGCCAATTGTGGCGGAGCGCTAGTGGCGGACAGCACGCCAACAAAAAAACGACGAGTGTCTGTGACTCGTGGCGCGAGGTGCCTAGATTGTTCATATTGCCACAAGGCAGTAGTGGGATTGGGGCATAAAGCGGTAGAGGGTCCCTGCCTGAAAGAAAAGACTACGAAGTGGATAGAGACTGGTCCCAGCCCGCCAGTGTGCCAGGCATTGTCTTCGCGTGTAATCGTCGTAAATATCAGCAAATGTACGTGTCCTTGTAAGATTATTGGTGGAGGTGCGGGGTACGCCTACCTGGCTTTCCCGGCAAACCAACACGGAACTTCGGAGTGGTCGCCACCTTCATTTTCCTGCAATGGCTCAACAGGCCCACTCACAAGAGCAACAGCAGCTGCCTCCTCTGATTCTCCTGCCTCCACGAGACCCTGGAACCTTCTCGGGCACAGCCAAGGACAAGGTGAATGGTGAAGATTGGGTAGCATTGTACGAGCGCGTGAGCGAATACTATAGGTGGGACTCTACGTTGATGCTGGCCAACGTTGTATTTTACTTGCGGGATACGGCGCTCACCTGGTATCAGACGCATGAGTCGGAGTTGACCAGCTGGGACGTTTGCCAACTGAAGATTGTCGAGTTATTAAGCAGGCCATTTGGGCGACAGCAGGCCGCGAGGAAAGACCTGGAATGTCGCGTGCAGATATCGACGGAATCACATGTATCTTACATACAGGACGTATTGGGCCTCTGTCGAAAGGTGGACGAGAACATGAGCCAAACTGACAAAATCGCTCACATACCAAAGGGAATCGTCAATGACGCCTTCAATCTGTTCATCGTTAAGCATTTCGCCACTGTCGACGCGGCTGTGAAGGAATGTCAGCGCTTCCAACACGCTAAGAACCGTCGCAAAACCCACCAGTTTGCGCGTCTGCCTAATACTGCAGCCACTTCGACCTGTGAAGACAGCCCCAAGTTCACGCAAGCTACATCGTCCGAAAATGTCACCCGAATCGTTCGCCACGAACTCGAAGCAATGGCTCCTGCAGCCATCGCCTCCGACGGTGCTCAAGACACCGCATCCACTTTCTCCCTCATCCAAGCCGTCGTTCGCTAAGAATTAGCTAATCTTGGCATCGCACCTGTTTGCACTGTTCGCACTACCGAGAGCTCGGCTTCTGCTAACCAGATTCCGGTGTACCCTTCCCGCTACCGCAACCCTGCTGAATGGAGAAC